ATATCATGTACCAGATTCTCCGCCTTTCCGAAAGAAAATCCCCAGGCCATGATCTAATTACCCCTAAAATCCTCCGAAATCTACCCAAAAAAGCAATAGTGTGCATTATCTCTATTTACAATGCAATATTTCGTACAACCTATTTCCCTATCCAGTGGAAACTATCTTTAATAACTCCAATACCAAAACCACACAAATCCCCCAGTGCCCCATCCTCTTATAGACCAATAAGCCTCCTTCCTATTTTATCCAAAATCTTTGAACGTTTCCTTCTTAAAAGATTAATTCCTATATTTGACTCTGAAAACGAATTCCTAACCATCAATTTGGGCTTCGACCTGTCCATTCTACTGTTCAGCAGTGCTTCAGAGTAGTCGACACGATATCTTCGGCTCTAGAAAACAAACAATACTGCTCAGCCGTATTTCTGGATGTTACGGAAGCATTTGACCGAGTATGGCACCCCGGCATCCTCTATAAGCTAAAATGTATCCTCCCTTATTCCTACTACCTTATCGTGAAATCCTTCCTCTCAGATCGATGGTTTAAAGTAAGAATCGGCACCGAGTTTTCACCTATCACACCAATCAAAGCTGGCGTTCCACAAGGAAATATCCTAGGCCCAATCGTCTACACCATCTACACTGTGACATACCCACACATTCAAACACACAAATCAACACACTCGAATCCTATCCTAGCAACAGAAGCACTCCAACAACACCTGAACCTTATTACCAACTGGTGCAATCTGTGGCGGATCAGAACAAAAAAGCCAACACGTTACATTTACGCTCAAACAACAAACCTGTCCACCAGTGCACATTTACAACAAAATAATACCACCATCGAACCAAGTCCGCTACCTTGGGCTTTACTTAGATAGTAGACTTACTTGGAACCCACATACACGATTAAAACGGCAAGAACTTAACAAAAGATATGGACTACTAAGACACCTTCTTGGACCAAAATCAAAACTAAGCATACATAAAAAACTAACCGCTTACAAAACACTCATCAGACCTATTTGGACCTACAGAGTCGAGCTGTGGGGCTCGGCCAAATCATCCAATATCCAACGAATTCAGTCTTTTCAATCTAAAGTTCTCCGCCGTATCCTCAATGCTCCCTTCTACGTCACAAATCAAACGATCCATAAAGATCTTAAAATCCCTTTCGTGAAAGATCTTATCCATACACGCTTCTTCACTTTTCATTCTAAACTCTCCCTCCATCCTAACTCACTAGCCCTAACTCTTTCCTCAATATCTCACCCTTACAATCCTCCACGCCGTTTAACACTTTTACTCCCCCCCCCCCAATTAAATAAAAGTTGGTTTTTCTCCCCAATGCCTCCTGGTTTGACAGGTCTGTCAGATTAGTTTATAACTAACTATTTGCTCAATGTATATTATGTACAGATAGCAATAAATAAAATAAATATCTTTAAAAAAAAGATTAAATACGTGTTTGTAATTAGTATGACCATAAAAATGCACATAGTTACAAATAAAAACAAAATACGATTTTTTCTCTTCGAGTGCATCTTATTTTTCAATTTTATTCACGGCCCTAAATATTAAACGTGATTTTTGTAAGACTGTAAATTGATACATATAGTATCTTAATTGCCAGGGAAAAAACAGTCATTTTATGCCAAACTCCACGACATGGTTTGAATAATGAACATGCATACATTTTCTTCTTCCTACAGAGTCAGTAAATTACTTTAACAAAATTACATGATAACCTGAATCGGGTTTTTATTGTGTATATATATATTTAAAAGGAAATGTCATTATCCGTACTGTCTTATGTAAAATTGGCCAACAAAGATTAATTGAGTTAAATTGCTACATTTTACACGCACAGTTATCCTATAATTATCTATTTTTATTTTCAGAATCCACCACTCAACAGTACATTAATATTGTTTAATAATCGTGTCCGAAGAAAAGTCGAAACCGGATTTCTGTCAATTAAGGGAATGTTCTCTGGGTTTAATAATAAAGTAATTAATATTTATACATCCGACCAAGGCTCACATCCAATATAAACAAGTTTATTTTTGCAGAACTGACAGACAAGTGCATTAACGAATTCCCTATGACAAGAAGAACTTCGGATGATTTAAAAAAAAAGTTAAATATATTCTCTATATATATTTAAGTTATACTGAGTTATACGAGCTGAAATCTAACAAAATGTTTTTATTACATTTGTTATAAAAAATATTAAATTCTATAAAGGGTAGACGTTCATGTAAATTATTTCGCGTATTTTTTTTAACTATCGATTTATTTCAATTAATTAATCTTTATGTAAGGTATTGGTTGAAATAAAAAAAGGCAGTGTCACGAGCGGGATTCGATCGGACCACGAAATCTAATGGATTTAATACGTAAAATGAAGTATATCTTCACTAAAGCTCTCCGTGGACATTTCATTTTTCGCCGAGAATCGAATAGATTACATGACATTTGAAAAATGGCAAAAAGGAGGGAAAATTCGAAAGGTAGGTTGTGATGAGGAGGTGGTGTCCGAGTGGATCGAAGTCACGACAGCTCAAGTGGTAGAGCCGTATTTAGCCGAAGGTCGAGGGTTCGAATCCCGCTCGTGACAATAGCGTTTTAATTTCAACCAAAACCTAATATAAAAATTCACTAATTTCGTGGTCCGCTTGACCAATTAATATATTACTAATAATTAAGGTTTTTAGTTGAGATAAAAAAGTCAATTCCCCACCTTCTTCAGCCCCAACGCAGTTTTAAATTTAACAATTCCTAAATACTTTCCCTTTCATTTACGTTAAATTTCACTCAATTTGGGTCTAGATAATCCTCCAGCTCCTTTTATCACGCATACTACATACTTACAATAGTTAGCCTTATTGAGGGTCGATGAGATAGTTGGTATCCCGACATCACACACATTCACGCATATAAATAAATTCACGAAACAGTTAAAGCATCTATCACTAACTTTAGTATACATACAATAAGTGGATTACCTTCAATAAACAAAAGATGTATATACAGAATTACACAGAATTAAAAGAAATCGGAATAGGAGAACCAAAGATTGGCTGACCAGCACAATTCTTATATCGGGCGACATTCCTGCTCGTTTCCAGTATGGAGTCAAGTAATGACATTTCAATTATTGGGACACGTTGAACTGAAGTCCAGCCGCCGAGGTTGGGCTCCGGGGCTACCAATAGCTACACAATCCTAAATCCAAGCCCACTTACACTCTAAGGCACTGTTAAATACAGATTTTTTTATTTACATACCCTTAACTCCGTTAGGGTGCTGGAGTACTCAATATTTCTCAATCACCATTTACACCTATTATATAACTAACCTATAAGATACTCCACCAATCCTCTCGCATTACACATTCACGCCGATAAATACATTCACTCTCAACACACGCTAGACACAAAACATCAATACTATACAGGGTGACTGGCGATAAGTGTCGAAAATTTCAGGTGTTTTACTCACCATATGAAACAAAAAAAACTTCTTATAAACCCCTGTCCAAATCTCAAAGGTAAAAAAGTAATTTCAGGTTTTGGGTGTTTTTTAATTTTTCGACTTAGGTCCATTAAACTGCTTATAAACTTCAGAATTACTGACTGTAGAAAAATCTGGTTTGTATCACCTGAAAGAACGTTACATTTGCTGTAAGGAAACCTTTTTAAATTGCAGATTTGGTGAAAAAATTCTGCACGAAAAATTCAGAAAAAAATGTTTAAATTTGAATTTTTTTTTTAATGAGTGGTAACTGTTCATAACTACAAACTATTGGAGTTTTGCAAATTCCCTCAAAAGTTCTCCATTCAATTAGCTTCCAGTGGACCCACCTTTTTGGATTGCGTTTCTGCAAAGCCCAAAAATTTTGCATTTTGTTGAAAAAACTGGTGATGAAGGGGGAATTTTTCCGGGAAATCCGTTTGGCTTTTGTGTTTCGTGCCAGTTTTTTAATGTTCCCTTCAATCAGTTTGCTTTATGTTATCAGCTGACAACTTTCTCAGATTGGTGATTTAAATTATGACCTTTTTTCCTAATGCACATCTTGCTGAAACCTTAAATTACTTCTTTACCGTTGAGATTTGGACAGGGGTTTATAGGAAGTTTTTGTTGCGTATGGTGAGTAGAAACACCTCCTGAAATTTTCTTCACTTACCGCCATTCACCCTGTATACAATAAAACAAATCTGTGTAAAAGAAATGGAGCGAATAGGACCACAAATTCCAGAAGAACTTCCACAATGGACGTTGATTCCACTCCATACCACAACTGACTGTTTTTGAAAGCTGGGCCGCATGCATGGCACATGAAGCAAAAACCTGCACGTCTTTTCCACACAGGGTCCCAGTCATCTTTAAGATTTATTAACTTCTGACCGATATGCCAATTAATAATATCTTTGTTTTGTGTTTATTGCATAAAAATTATAATGAATTATTTTAATGAACATTACGGACTTGACGAAATTGCTTGATCAAAATGTAAACAGAATTATTTATTATTTATTTCTCCTGTTCTTCTTTTCGAATCTATTTCACATTTTATACATTAATAAGTTTAGAATTTATTTATTTCATTAAGGTCTCGGTACAACAAAAATATAAACCAGTGTTGTAGCACTTATTGGTGATGAACTGCTCTTGCTCCCCATTTTTTTACTTTGCGATGTCTCTTCGTTAACAGCTGCTTTCCAATAAAATAAGTTATTAATATTTTAGACTTACTTTTTTTGTAATTTGGTTTTCTGCCGTGTTAAATAATAAATTTTGAAGTATGTTCTAATGTTGTTACTGGTGGTACAGTGTAATAAAGCGATTGTATAAATGAAAATATCTACAGTCAGCCTTTCTATATAAATCAATGGCAAAATGAATAGGAAAAAAGTTACAACGTTCATTCTAGGATATCATGTAAACAGATGATTTCTGAAGAACTAATGTGAGGCAGTATAAGTTAATTACTAATCACGTCTAAATTGTATTGATATGTGCATGAATTATACATAACGTCCTCAACAGGTTCATTTTTTACATTGGGATTCAATAAAAGAACGGAGTTAAAAATCTTAAATCCAGCCCTGTAATTTGTACTGAGGGTTCATTCTTCGATGACGCTACCGCTGTTCTCGCTCCCTTGGTTCCTGGCCGAGTCGGATGCGGAGTCCTCCTGTTCCGAGTTGTCCTCTTCGTCCTGGGCCATGTCCTCGTAGAAATCTGCCAGGTCTATCGGCGTCATTTCCTTTTTCAACCGGCTTGCCCGTGTGTAATCTTCGAGAGTCATCGGGACCACGACTCCGTCTTTATCGGCTTCCTCTCTGGACGACATGACCTGTGGAACGTGTCCAAATTAGAAATAATAACATAACGTTTAATATAATACAATACTGAATATAATTTCTAATGAAATATTAAACTTAGCAGGAAGTTAGCTGCATTATTCTAGGGGTGATGTCAAATGATTGTTTTCAAACTATTATTTACTGTTGTTTCGCCTCAATTTAAAAAGAAATCCAGTTATTTTGTATTTTAGAATAACAGTTTCAGTTTTATCCACAATTGAAATAACAACAAAAACTAGAATAGAAAAAAATTAAGGATCATAGCAAAATCAAATAAAACCTGACGTCTTCCGAATCATCTAAATCTAGAGACATCTTCTTTGCTTGACATTTATTTTAAATTATTTTTTGATAAATGAGTGAAATATTTTTTATAAAAGTTTTACTTAAGTGCTCTGCCAAATCTAGCAATGATATCAAATTGATCAAAAGTATTTATGAAACAAACAGAATTATTTTATGACAGAAATCCACTTTCAAATTTGTTACAATAGGAAAAATTGATCCAACAACCCAATCACTTAGAAATATACCCTCAAAAATACATTTTTCTTTACCCCCATCATAAAAATTTTATGAAGTAATCGAAGTGATGTTTATTACCTTGTAAGAGTGTTTTTATTGCATATATATTAAATATATACCCAGCAATTACACTGATCATAAAAGTAAACTTAGAAAAGTCACAGCGTCTGGATGGATCGGCGCTTGAGACTGTGGCACTCGGAATAAGGGTCATCCTCACTCACACTTATTTTTAGGCCAAAGCCTGCGTATGTGTCCGACCGACATGGTGTGTGTGCTCGTTATATGGAAGCGTGCAATTCCTTGGCTCCTTAAAGAGAGCGCATAGGAATGCCGCCCCATATGAGAATTATGTTTGTGCACGGCAGCGCGGTTCTGGCCCCGTTTTCCAATTCTTGGAGGAAAAGTAGTTGTTTTATTGTATATAGTAATGTTTTCTTTCCTTAGCGTGTGTTTGATAGTGAATGTATTTATTGTCGTGAATATGTAGTGTGAAGGGGCCGATGGCGGAATATTAAGTATGAACACTCTAGATTAAGGGTATGGTCTTGAAGAAGAAGAAAGCAAATTTACTTGCTAATGCCAAGCTTTCGACCTATTCTAAGGTCATCAGGGCCTATATTCATTTCCCATTATGAAAAACATATTTGTACATTTGATTTAACAATCAATATGACATTATTGAATTTACAAAAAAACCTTTAATAAGTCTAGAGATTGAAATATTCAAGTTTTTACAGACGGTCTTAAATTTCCTTGAAACCGATTCAGTCCCAAGATTGCCAAGGACTGGAACAGTATTGCAGCCTTATCCCGGAGATCATCCACTCGTTGTCAAAGTCCTTTTTTTTTAATTAATAAGACCCAATTAATTTTTCTTTTTATCTAAGGTTTTTGGTTGAAGCTGAAATCTAACAAAAATGTTTTTATTACATTTGTTATAAAAAATATTAAATTCTATAAAAGGTAGACATTCATGTAAATTATTTCGCGTATTTTTTTAAACTATTGATTTATTTCAATTAATTAATCTTTATATAAGGTATTAGTTGAAATTAAAAATTAGTGTCACGAGCGGAATACGATTTTTTGTCTCAACCAAAAGCATTGGATAAAAAAGGATAACTAATTGGAATAATTAATATGGTCAATAATGACCACTAAGTAAATTTGTATTAAATTGAAACTTCAACATCATTGATTCATAAATTGAACTTAAGCCCGTAGTATCTGTTTGAATGTTACAATTATTTTTCAATTAATTAAGGTTTTAGGGTTGAGATAAAAAAGTCAGCGTCACGAGCGGGATTCGAACCCACGACTACCACTCGAGTAGCGGCGTATCTAGCCGAATGTCGTGGGTTCGAATCCCGCTCGTGACTCTGACTTTTTTATCTCAACTTAAAACCTTAATTAATTGAAAGATATTAATTTGTCAAGCGGACCACGAAAACTAGTGGAGTTACAGTTATATTTTCCATTTTAGTATGTAAAACCTGTTTTATTCTGAGGAATTAGGACTCTTTGATAGTCCGGTACCAGATTTATTGCCACAATCAGAAACATGACCATATATTTTATTTTTTATTGTTTTGTTTGATCAATGTATTTGGTTGAAACTTGTGGTGATTAGTGACCGTTAATAGATAATTATTCAGAAATCGTGAGATGCGGTCTGGTGTGATGTAGGTTTCAGAAAAACATTTTCTTTATCGTGCCAACGTTTCGATCTTTATTGCCGACGCCTTATACAAAAATGTCTTTTCTATACCGACTTCCTTCCCCACCCCTTCAAAATCCAACGTATATAAACATAAAACAGCAAAATCTCACTGGCACTCTCTCAACACGACACGCAAGAATGGCACAATTACACAGAAGACAAACACTTTGAGTGAGTAGAAATACTTTGATTGAATATATATAAAAAAATATATTTTGCATTGTATAAATTCACTTTTCCACATCCTAAATATATTTGTTAAATGTAAACAATGTTTGTAAATCCCAGGCCCTGAAGATGATCTCAATAAAGATCGAACGTGGGCAAGATATAGAAAATGTTTTTCTGAAACCTACATCACACCAGACCGCATCTCACGATTTCTGAATAATTGTATTTGGTTGAATTCACTACACGAGAACCTATATACCACATTCCATGTCCTGTTGTACTCTTCGTCAAGACCATACCTTAATAGAGTATTCGAAAATGATTGATTCTACTAATACTGAAAACGGAATATTGAGTACCCATCAATTAGTTTAGTTACATCGTATGTGTAACGGTGACGGAGAAAAATCAAGAACTCCACCACTCTGTGTGAGTATAAATATATGCTGAAATGACCTAGCTGCTGACAGCCCAACGTCTGTTGCTGAATGGATAAGACAGATCTGACCCAGGACTGCCAACACCAAGGGTGGGATATAATCAAGGCCTGCTATGTATAATCAAGGTTATTTATTGTAAATTACAAAAGCTGAAATTGTCGGTGGACTGCGAGAGGTAATACTCATCTTTGTACACCCCTGTACATTTATTATATGTATTAAAAATCAATCATAATAGATCATAAAAATAAAAACTGTTGGGAATAGAAAAATTGTAATTGTGTTTTCTTGGGTTTGTTATACCTGTGTTTGTGTATGTATTATTGGTTGTGTTTTGTTTTTTGATTACTAAGTTGATTCAACTTGGATTTAATTGAGATTCTTTTTCTCGTGTCCAGACTTATTTGGTCCTTTTTTTTCTTGGTTATTTACCAGGTTATTTCGATTGTAAATGACCAGATTGTAATGCTGACATCTTTAACATCATACGTTAACAACATACGTCACAATTTTGGTATCATACGTCAACGTGAGGTTCTTTTGTTCTTATTTTATTTACTGTTTCCTACAGCATTGTTGCCAGTAACGCATATCCTTAAATTCTTCGTAGATTTCATCTACAGTCTAATCCTCGTTATCTTGATTTTTAATTTGGAAAACATATTCCTGTATTCTACGACAGGGTACTGTTGATATGTTTGAAACGAAATAACTCCCTAGTTGTTCTATCTTTCGTAAATATTTTTTCGCACTTCTTTAAGTCTGATTAAAATAATTTACACAAACAAAATGTGTTGTACATAATAACTAACCGGGAGATATTGAGAAGAATGAAGGATGATAAGAAAAAAAATGTAAATTACAATACAGTAGCTACATTATGCTCCCCAAGAGAAATATGTGCTATTCCATCTCATGCAAGTAAAACCTTTCATTAAAAAGGTACTTGACAGAAGTAAACATCCTTGTTGAAAATTATCAAAATGTTTGATTATTCTACAGTAGTTCCTCCTTGCTGTGATGTAACCGGAGCAAATCTACCTTTACCTGTCTTTTGATTATTTCTTCGTACTCCTTGTCCTGGCCCTTGGAATCCCTCCATCTGCGGTACATGACCGAGGCGTCCACGTTGGCCGGTGAGAATGTGTTGGGTTCGTTGAGCAGCGAGACGACGGACAGCAGGATCGTCCTGACCGTCTGCGTCGGATTCCACCTCTCGCATGGCAGCTCTCCGGACTGCGGGTCGTCAACCGGAGGGTGCAGAATTGATATGCACAGATCACCGCTCTCGTATACGTTCGGATGCCACACTCTGAAAAACAAAAGAACAAAATGAAAAATCGTAAGATATTTTGTGATAAAATTCATACTTGGTGAGAAATTTGATGCTTGGGGGTGAATAGGGGTAGTCCTGAGGGAACTTCATCCTCGCTTTAAAATATCCGCCCTGATATAGAGTTTCCGGGGGTCCAAATATTGCAACCTCCCATTCGAACAAACTGTCTTCTTTTGCTAGTTTAACCTATAAATAATACAAATGAATTAATTATTTTCTTCCTTCAGCCTTAGACGGAAAAAATACTGCAACAGCAATTACTGAGCAGTTGTGATCTATTCGATTCCGACTTATAATTCCATTTTTCCATTAGAATTTTAAATACGGTTGTTTGTAGTTTGTATTAAAGAAAGTGTTTGAACGTTTCCTACACCTTACTGTTGTATATAGTACAAATGTACAGCATATACAGCACATACAGCATTCTTCTTTCTAATCTAGTGAAAATTAATGAACAAACCGAACACGGAAGATGACGAAATCCTAAAGGACGTCTGGCAGTAAAGAACAGAGAGTATGCAGATCCAAATGATTGGAAACTGTCCAGGATTAAAAAAAGCTTTTTAAAAGTTTACCACCAATGTTTTAATCCGGCATGTTAATAAGTTAACAATATGGTCGATATGCTTTGCATTTTATACCCTTGTTGTTAGGTGCGACATGTTATACATCTACCGATCCAATCAATTATAAGAGAAAATAGTGGGATGACACATAATCTCATTTTTTCGTGAAGTTTTGTTTTTCAAGTAGAGTTCCCGTTTCCGTTAATCCTAGTCAGCCTAACCTTGGCTTTTTTGCAATCCTTTGCAGCATACTGCATCCGTAGTCGTTCTGGTGCAGTTGACATAACACACACACCCAACGCGTCTGATAATAGACCAGTCGGATCAAGCATGGATTAGATTATGAAGCAAATAAATATCCTATTCTGGTTTGAACATTGCCGCCTTTTAGATCTGCTAGGATAAAACTTTACATTTGTCATTTCTCATACTCCAGGTCTGCCAGACGTGTTAAGCCTTTCGCCGAAGTTAATAACGGTCCTAACTCAACGATCTATGTAGTTACGATCAAACACCTATAAACGATATTACTAATGTAGTTTTTGCAAAATAAGAAAAAGTATGCCCAGATCCTTCAATAACGTTGACATTTTCAAACATTTATTGTACAAAAAAGTACAGTACAAAAGAGCACTACCCAGATTTGATGCATACTGCCTAACATACGAGTTGAATCGCGCAGATGTTTGGCTGCCTTGTATTTAAACATTGTACCAGTTTATTTCATCTTCATCACATTGCAAAACTCATCAAGATCTCACTACCAAAAAGATCTTCATCCCCATTTTAAAGCGTATTAATGGGATTTAACAAAGTACATTTTGGGAGATTTCTTCTTGTAGTCTGCAGGATCATAAATCTTACCCATCAACCTGGTCTGCCTACCCTCGATGCATTTTGTTGGTTCCGACTCATTTCGTAGATGGCATTAAGCGATATTTGTGGAGTCCGGTGGACCGACCGATGAGGTAACGAAATGCCGAAACGCATCTGAACCAACAAAAATCAGCGAGATTAAGCAGACCAGTATGATAGGTAACTACCAAACAAAAGTACATTTTGTTTTAATACATTATTTAATTTGTATTTGCCTGTATTGACGTAATGCCCGACATCGTTTTGATATTTCTTTTTTTTTTTTATTAAAGGCGGACACCAAACTAGAGATAATAGGCAGATGAAAATAATAGGAAACATCATACCACAGATTTATTACCCTGCACACCCCCTGAAGGTTATTATCAGCCAAAACAAATTGGAATTGTATTAAGTTTCGTAATCCGCTTGGCCGAATAAATTCTGTTCAATTAATTAAAGTTAAAGTTGAAAAATGGCAAAAAGGAGGGAAGATTCAAAAGGTGGGGTTGAGATGTTAGTGTCTGATTGGGTCGAAGTCACGTAGCTCAAGTGGTAGAGCAGCGGCGTATTTAGCCGAAGGTCATGGGTTCGAATCCCGCTTGTGACACCCACTTTTTTATCTCAACCAAAACTTTACTTAATTGAGAAAAAATGGAATGTTCGTTTGTTCTCTTTTACGAAAATGTAACTATTCAATGCTTTATTTCTTCAAAAATTCAAAGGTATTTACGACACCAATGATGTAAAAAACAAAAATTTATTCTCTGACCGTTGTTTTAGCTTTCAACCTTTTATATTTATACGATTTTTTCTTTACGTTCTGAAAAATTACTAATTATTCTTTTATCAATACGAGTTAAGACTTTAATCCTTATTGTATGTGTTATGATAATGACGGATCAATTTAGTGACTAATATCGCACTTGTAGTACTTTGTGCTTGCACAGTAAAAATTGCCATTGCCAAATTTTGAAGTTCAATGTTTTATTTCTTCTAAATTTTTATGAAATCATTGTTTAAAATGTTGAAACGTGGCTTGTTAATTTTCTAGTTATCATTGAAACTCGTTGAGAAATTTTTCTGTACCAGTTAGGTAAATCATTCAAGGTCTATCGTGTATTACTTTATTGACTAGATGAATAAAAAAAATGTTATGTTTTTGTTTAAATCCGGATTTCATGTAGTTGTTGTAAACAAGAGATTTAAAACAAAAAATAAAATAAAATAAATGCCGTTTGTAGTAAACTGAATTGTTTTTCCGAATTTCGACAGCTGGAAATGCCAGTGCGGCCAAAAACAAATAATTTCCTCGGAGATATAGGAAAATTGAAAAACCCCTGTGTATAATAACTGTCGTACCTGGAAGCCTTCGAGAGGTTCCTCCTGCAAGTTCTTGTACTCCAAGGCGAGCGCTTTGATAGCCGATCCTTTGACACCGCCGCTCGCACAACTGCCCGTCGAAGTCGAAGCCGATGTCGAACTGGCCGCCATTGGGATTGTCGGCGAGTCTAAAGTATAATAATTCATGTGAGAGCTCATCGGTTTTGGTTATCGGACCAACATCTGTTCTCGAGGGAATGAGCGCAGTCAACATATGATCTTCTAAATTTAAAACCATTTCCGAAACCGCCGAAAGTTAAGATTTCCGCCTGACAAGTCGGACTTACGGTTTAGAATGAGAAAATATGATCATCAGTGACAACAGCTTGTCATCTTGTAGCTTCGGTGTATACACCATGTCAAGACGAAGTGTAGTATCGTCTTTTTAAACCTCCGGGCGATCAAATTACCAAATTTTGTCTGCAGTCGTTGCTTTCTCCGGCTTTTTGATCCAGCATCCAATGGCATTAATTTTCTATGATTCTGTGAATTAAAAAAGTAAATGAACAAATAAAATCAATACACATACTGGTGAAAAACTAAACAATTTATTGTATTTTTATTTTCTTTCGCCATCCTGGAAGGAAACCCCGCCGGCCAGGATCTTATTACTCCTAAAATCCTCATAAATCTACCCCAAAAAGCAAATAGAGTAGTTACAACTATTTACGCAAAACTTCGTACAACCTATTTCCCCCCATCCGATGGAAACTAAGAGTAATAATCCCAACCAAAACCAAAACCACGCAACTCCCCCATGTCCATCCTCTTAAGGCACGTACAAACTAAGCAAATCTCGGTCAACGAAAAACAACCGATATATCGGACCGAACGTTAGTCGCCAACACAATGACCATGATTGGCTTCATCCTCATCACTCCTAGGGGCCATGGTCCACGTGGAATCGCTGTCAACAACATCAACACTTCCGATGTCACCACCAGAAGTTGGAACCTCGACAATGGCTCTGAATCGCCCCCCGTACACACTAAGCAACTGACAGCCAAAGGAATAGTTCAACGAACGCCGAGATTAGCTTAGTGTGCATGAGCCTTAAGAGGATATATCGAAGTCACGATAGCTCAAGTGGTTAGAGCAGCGGCGTATTGAACCGAAGGTCGTGGGTTCGAATCCCGCTCATAACACTAAATTTTCATCTCAGCTAAAAACCTTAGATGGAAATAATAATTAATCGGGATAAGTAATATAGTCAATTATGACCATTAAACAAATATGTATTGTGTAAAGTTTGGAGATGTCCTTTGAACACTACTTCCCAACTGCTCGAGATACAATGCCAGCAAGCCATGAAGGGTGGTCAAACCGTTTTCTGTTTCGACAAAACCAACCAGTCTATCTTCAAGTGAATACGAATTTTGACAGACATTACTTCATACTCCATCTTGAAATCTACTTTCGAGTCCGGTACTCCATTTTTGACTCCGACTGGAAAACTAAAAATTTCCCTCGTTGAAAAAGTAAAACTTGTTCTTCTTCCATTTGCCACAACTTTCCTATGCAAGTCTGGATTTTCTATCTGTACCACTGCCATAACGAAATACTGAAGTTTAGATGTGAACCCAACATCCGTCTCCGGAAAATTAAAACCAACATATCCAAATTGTGCAGGTTAAAACAACCTCACTCTTCCCATTAATTCATTAATCATTAATGTTCAAAAGTCTTACTTTTGGCTCGACTTTTGCCTACTTATCGATGATTTTTGTCTCCCGGATGTTGTAAATAAAATTAAGTTTGTCAATCTAACGTTTATTTTCAAAATGATATCTCTCTCCCTCACCTTATTAGGAATAGACTGGCTAATTTTAATTTATTACGTACTATAAGTTTCTAATTTTAAATACTTGAATGCGAGGGGTCCACCCTGGGTTTTACTCTGTGAAAAGGCTAAAATGTTTGGGAAGACTGCTCTTCACCATATACACTGCTGACCTGCCTACACATCCAAACACTCACAGCCGTTTTCTTTCCAGATGAATGCCGGTTTGGTTTATCGCACTACAGTTAAATTGGGGAAGTTCATCTGGAAACTCTGTGACATTCGCGCCATTTATCGGGGACAAGTTCTTGATAATGCTCGACAGTATGAGCTCCGGCTGTCACCCATTATTTGGAGTATGTAGGGATTAACACAATGAATTGGCCAGTACCATTTCCTGAAATGAACCCTTATGAGACCCAGTAAATAGAGGGGTTAGACATCTTTCACTGCCTCCAAAAAGTGTTGAACTTCTTCCAGAATCTCTCGTTGAAGAATGGGATGTTGTTTCATAAGACGCAATCCGGTCGTTTATTTACTCAAAGCCAAGGTGGTTTAAGCCCTCCGCAATGCCAGAGGAGGCAATACGCCTTATTAAGAGCAAAACTATATAATGATATTTTTAGTTAAATTTTAATCCATCGTTAAATGATTTTTCGGTGTGTTTATTAATTTTCTTCCAAACCTTCATAATACAATTTTCCCTAACTAACCGTAGCGTATTACATAACTTCACTAGTTTTCGTGGTCCGCTTGACCAATTGATATCTTTCAATTAATTAAGGTTTTTAGTTGAGATAAAAAAGTCAGTGACACATGCGGGATTCGAACCCACGACCTTCAGCTAAATACGCCGTAGCTTTACCTCTTGAGCTATCGTGTCTTCGATCATCTTTATTATTGGTGTATTGGATCAAAAATTTGTTTTTTACACATTTTTTTATTTATTTACAGATAAACGGGTCACTTAGTCAAGCATAGGACAATCAAACAATACAACGAATCAATCATTAAAATATAACTATTTAAAAAAAAGGATATAAAAATAAGAATAAAGAAGGGCCGACACTTTTAACAAACAAATCAACATTGTAATTAGCTTTCAATTAATTAAGGTTTTTAGTTGAGATAAAACAGTCAGTGTCAGGAGCGGGATTCGAACCCGCGATCTTCGGCTAGAATCGCCGCTGCTGTACCACTTGAGCTATCGTGACTTCGATCCACTCGGACACTAACTTTCCATCTCAACCCCACCTTTAGAATCCCTCCTTTTTGCCATTTTTCAAACGTCGTGCAATCTATTTAATTTTTTTCTTCTTTTTTTTTTGGGGGGGGGAGTGTGTTTCAACTACGAGGTTATTTGAACCCCCGGGATGCCGGTGTTTTTGAGAAAAAGCCCATTTGTAAGTATGTGCATGGCATGGCCGCTGGATTCGAACCCGGGACCTTTACCTTACAGTGATGTGCGCCGTGTCAACGCCTAAATCGTTGCGGCCACCGACGCCCCGTGTGTGTTTTCCTTTCATCCAACAGATCTGGGTTAATTTGGCTTAGATTAAATAAGTGTTTGTGATTAATATAACGATAAAAATGAATCAATAAAAAACAAAATTTTTTCATTTATTTTTGAATGCATATAGCATGTAATAATGGTTTAGTCGAATCACATTGTTTAACAGCGTATAGCGTAACATATAACGATTATTTTTATCTCAACCAAGACCTAACATAAAAAGAAAATTGGAAAAAAAAGATAAATCGAAAGAAGTAACTTGGCCATTGACCATTAACACGTAAATGGATTAATATCTAATAAGTAAAAGAAGTATTACTTCACAAAAACAGCTCCCCGTCGCCACTTCATAAGTCGCTGAGAATCTTGATTTGAAAATGGCAAAAAGGAGGGAAAATTCGAAAGGTGGGGTTGAGGTTGGAAGTTAGAGTTGGAGTGGATCGAAGTCACCATAGCTCAAGTGGTACTGTATCGGCGTATTTAGCAGAAGGTCGTGGGTTCGAATCCCGTTCGTGGTACTGACTTTTCGATCTTAACTAAGACCTTACACAAAAAGTAAAAAAAAGTAATTGAAAGAAGTAACTTGATCAATTGACCACTAAAACGTAAATGGATATAACCATTACTATGGTGAATGTATTCAGTGATTACATGTATAAAACCGGATTCATAAAAAAACCTGTGTTCTCCTTTATTACATCCAACAGATCTGCTTTAATTGTGTTTACATTAAATGTTTGTGATTAATATAATGATAAAAATGCATGTAGTTGTGAATAAAAAACCAATAAAATTTCGTTCGTTTTTGAGTGTGTAAAGCATACATTAATGGTTTAGTTGAAGCACACCGTCTAATAGCATATAGCGATTACTATGTCAAATGTGTTGAGTGAATTATGTAAAAAAACTGGATTCTTAAAAGCCTGTGTTTTCCTTACAACCAACAGATCTGCTTTAATTTGGTTTATAATAAATAAGTATATGTGATTATTATAGTGATAAAAACGCATATAGTTAGAACTAAAAAACAATTTTTTTCGTTTGTTTTTGTGTTTATAATGCATATAACAATGGTGATTTGATCTGCTTTAATTTGATTTACATTAAATAATTGTTTGTGATTAATATAATAATAGAAATGCATGTAGTTTGAAATAAAAAACAAAATTTTTTCGTTCGTTTTTGAGTGGGAAAAACATATAATAATGGTTTGGTCGTAGCACATTGTCTAACACATTCGTAGTGAGAATTTATCAAATCAAAATATATGGGGAATTAATACAAAAATGACGTCCTCAGAAGGTAAAACATACACGTTTCCATTCTGTATTGTTGATTCCGATTTACAACAGGCATTGAATTGTTATAGTAAATCCCAACGGGCGCGTCTAACAATCGTAAAATCGTTGCTTTGTAGTTTACGGCAAATGTTTTCCTCCTGAACTCTGGCCCACCGCTCGTTATAAATCGAATTAAAGAATTGTCCGTGTACAAAAGAGGGCTTTGGTGTGCAAGTCAAGCGTGACGCCGCTGTTGGCAGACCGTCAGACATATAAGAAATCAAACAAGGAAAATCTTAAAGGAGCCTCCTAATCCTGATTTGAGGGAGGAACGGATTATCCGATATGGTCTAGAGCGTGCAAACACGGATTACCGGAGGATGAAAGAGATAGAGGTCTTAGATTCATTTCATTGTTGAAACTTTCAGTATAAATTAGATGCTAGTAGATAAAGCACCAATGACAACAAATAAGCTCTGTCAGCAGTTTATTGATAGCTGAATCTTCCTTTTTTACACTTGCTCTCGCTGTTTTCAATTTAAGCCATGTTTTGTGAGCAATACACAGGAATTTGGACTTTTTTATAATAACAAAGGTGTGATAATTAGTTAGTTCATAACTTGGAGTAGGGCTAGGACTATATAACGGTCACTAACATCTGAAAAAAAACATCTACTCAATATGAATTTGTTCAATGAGGAAAGAGCCAAATCTTTTGATGATCTTGAAGCAACCGCCCAACGGACATATCCTGGGATACAAACAGAAACCAAGGGAAAGGATTTGTAGCAGCGTCAGTCAGTGATCTTCTTAGGATTTGGTGGAACCTTTTTGGAGAAAGATATAGTCGATTGCTCTGAACTAAGAAACTAGGGAAGTACAGTAAGCCAGAAGTTGCATTGCTTGGGGAACATATGTTCCCACTTGTTAGTCTCTTT